AATATTATGCGTGTACACGTATTTTTTGCGTATTCTTATTTATAGTTAGATGCGCACTGTATCATAGTAATGGCTAGCGATTACTTCTTGTATATTCCCATGAATGTTGGTGTACTGTAAAAGCAGTGGCTCGCCGTTAAAAACTGAAAAATCGAGTAGCATCACCGGCAAACAATTTGGACTGCACTTCTGGTATTTGTTTCGATAAAGGCATGTTGGCGAAATATTAATACATCCACAATGCCATTCTCTTGGTCTTTCTCCGAAGAATAACGCAATTACTTCTGTCTTATCTACATGCATGTTTCTCGTAAATCCAATTAGCGTCTTGTGCAATTTATGCGTTTTTGCCGGATGTTTTCTTTTTATAAAACAATTGTTCCGCAAAGTTTCGCCCTTCGCAAGGACCCTGTTTAGGCGAAAACGTAGCCGTGGGTCCCTTACTGTGACAGCGTTTTAGTCGGTTACGACCGAAGCTGCATCGCAAAGTAGTAACACGTGTTTTCGCGATTTCTTTTGCTTGCTTTTTGCTGTTGTTTATTTGTTGACCTATTTGCTTGTTGGGTTCGGCAAGCTATTTATTAGGGTCAGGATGTTCTGTTGGCTCCAGGAAAAACGACTCGGAACCCTTTCATGGAAAGCGGAATCCCCTCAAACTGATTGCTTTCGAAGGCGTGCTGACCAGTCGGCTGCTTCATGTACACGAACGAGAAGACGCTTCTCCGTAACTTCATCCAAAAGCGATCTGACGATTCGGTTGCTGGGGGGTTCCGAAATTCAAGGCTGCCGTTTAAATGCCCGCAGAGCGCAACTGCATGGTCTTGAAACGGCAATAGGCTCCCCTCCGTTTGTTCTTCTTCGTCCTCAGGCGACTTGAGATATCGCGAATCAGACCGGTGTGGGCCGATTCAGATGCGAGCAGTATATGAGAAGGACTGGCGCTCCACGGCTTCGTTGGTGATAAGTTGTTTTTAATGTAGCACGACTAAATCAACCTATTGACTTGCCAGTGTGCGGTGTCTAATGTTTTCCCTGGTTAGGGATGCTGTCTGCAGTATAATGTTTTCCCTGGTTAAGGATGCTGTCTGCAGTATAATGTTTTCCCTGGTTAGGCATGCTGTCTGCAGCATGACCCTACTTGTCGGCTCTGAAATATCTTAGCATGAAAACGATGAGCTGGTCCAGGTAGGTATAACCACGTTTAATGCATTATTCTGTAGGTTACGCCAGATAGAAATGAAATTGCGCCATCCAGCCGCATCTGACGAAGTCGCGAGCGGGACATAGCTCCCAATAGTTGGCGAAGAGTGGTCTTCTGGCAGATCGTTGTAAGTCCCCGCGATGCTTCGTTGGAAACTGTGGCGGGATCGCGACATGCGGGCTCATGTTAGCCGTAGCCCGGGGGGAAAACGCTGGATTCGCAGTTCAGCGGCGTAAAGTCTGACTTCCGGGTCGTGCACATTGTTTGGCGCGACTAAGACAGAGCGTTCAACAAGGCTTAGACCAATATAAGGGAACTGCAGGTGGCAGCTGTGTTGCCGCATTGCGTGGCGCGAACAAAGACTACTGGCGTATTGCAGTATACTGCTGTCGTCTCCACACCGGACCACGCGAGCGTTGGCTCTGTATGAGCGACATGGCTCACCCAGTGACGGCCCAGGTGTGGCTGACGCCCTGCCCTGTGGGAGCGCCGTGGGGCGTCTGGGCGTCTCATTTCGCGCAGTGGTTTGTTCTGCTCCAGCGTCAATTTAGCCCGGCATCAGGTTATTCTGGGCTACTGGCACCACGATCTCAGATGGACGATTTTGCACACGGCGGTCCCGGAGGGGCATGGGAAGGGTTCGTCTTTCCAACGAGTTGTCTGACTATTTTAGCTACATTGGCGGAAACCTTATCAGAAACCTCGGCTCCAGCACATGAAACATTATATTTTTTTGCGGTTTCGTCTTCGGCTGCAGTGCTCCATACGTTAACGCTGTCATGGGAAAAGTGTCAGGTGGTGCTCAATAGTGCTCCTGTGCAGTGGACAATGATCATTGGCAGGACCTTTGTAGAATTATTGCAGCGTTAGGGACAACTAGTAAAAGGCACATCGAACAAATCAGGCTTTGCCGTCCCTCCCACACAAATAACGCAAAACCACTTTTCGTGCCCTGAATGTTTACCGATTGTATTCGAACTTCCGAGCTCGTGAAATCGGTTGTGATTTGTCCATCGCACAATTCCGTATGTACGCGCGCGCCGTATGCTCCGCATATACTATATATACCGCTTACACATGTACTAAACGGTACACATATATGTGTACCATTCGCGAGCTCACGAACCACAACACTAACGGACAGCGGCCTGGCCGCCTGCCGCTGCTGGCGAATGGTGATTGGTCGAATGTGACGCCGGCGCAGTAGGACGTGGTGCTACCAAGCACGTTTGAACTACAGCAAGTAGCATGACCACATTTAGTGTACGCCGCTAACCCATATTTTGGTCTCTTCTGGTAGCCTTTGGAGGTGGAACTAGGGAGGGTCCCGCCTTCAACCGGATCCCCTCACCCCCAAAAAACCCACTCAGCTATGGCTGCCATCTGAGGTGCATCACGCTTGAATTGGGACTGTTTTCGTAGCGTTCTGCGAGGTTCCGTCTGATTTTTTTCGGCACATCTATCTGCTCCACTTTCGTCGTGATTTATGGCTGAAACTTAACTTAAGATAACGGCGCTCATCCTTCTAAACACGCCATCATTCTTGTCTCGGGTTTCGAGTGGCCGTCGTTCGAGCCTCCCGCCTCAGTCCAGATTGTACCAGGAAAGTTCGTCAAGCGTTCGTGTTCGCTACCCGCGTTCAATGCCCGCGCTGCCAACTTCGAAACGAAGCGCGCGAGTTAGCGTTGCCGGCTTTGTTTCAATAAGTTAGGCCGGTCTCTCTACGGAGCCTGTTGAGTGGCTTAAGCCCCCGACTCGCGTGCGAAATGCACAGCTGGCGCCGAGACGGCCACTAGTTCCAGCCGCACATTTGTAACGAAATGGCTTCATTAACAGGCATGAGTCCGCCTCGCAGTTTGGGCTTGCCCATCCCCTCCGCCCTTCTGGATCAAAGAAGCTGGCTGGGAATGCGGTGGTCGGTAACCAGGCGCGCTGTGGGTTCGATGATCGTGTGCGACCGTCGCAGGCTGGCGATCGGGCTCCGCCCGCTGACGTGCTCGCCCCCGACGATACCTTTTCACCCGTTGAGCTCATGGACGCCGCATGAGCAGAATAGTCGGCGCGCACTGAAGCCCAAGTCATCACCATCACCCTTTGAGCCCGGCTCGGGTGCTGTGCCGCCGATGTGACTTGTACGAGTTGTGTATGCGACGCGACCAGCCCTGCCGTTGATGTGACGCGATCGTCGCCGTGGTGATTGGCTCGGACGACGTCTGCCAATATGACTTGGTCGATAGGCTGCCAGCCGATCTAACCGAGTCGCGCTGCTACGGCTTGGTCGCGGCCGGCTGATCGCGTGCGTGCACGGGCTTGCGGCTTGCGTGCGTGGGCTTGCGGCTGCAGACAGCGCGGTCCGCGTCTCGCCGATGTGAGGCGATGAAGTTCCGAATTATACAACGCGGCCGCGACCTCACGGATGCGGTCCCATCTCCGACCCAGTGACAGGACGCAGTCAGCGTGTGACGGACATGACCCAGCCGCCCCCGGAGGATGTAGCTGGTTCGCCTTGACACTGGCACGGCTCCCGAGCTGACTAAGTCTCGGTCGATTGCCGTCAGACTTGTGTTATCTGACCGGTTCGACATCGTCATGGTTCCGTGGACCGATCCTCGGTCCCACTGACGTGACCCGTTCCCGCTCTCGCTGACGTGACCCGCTCATGCTGACGTGCCCCGCTCCTGACGTGGCTCGCTCTCGACGTGCCCCGCTCCTGACGTGCCCCGCTCCTGACATGACCCGCTCCGGACGTGGCTCGCTCCTGACGTGAACCGCTCCTGACGTGGCCCGCTCCTGACGTGGCCCACTCCTGGCGTGCGGCGCTCCTGGCGTGACCCGCTCCTGACATGGCCCGCTCCTGACGTGCTTCGCTCCTGACGTGTTCGCTCCTGACGTGAACCACTCCCGCTGACGCGACCCGCTTTCGCTCGCGCTGATGTGGCCTACTCCCGCTTCCACTGGCATGACCCACCGACTTCACCGGCTCCCGCTCCCGCTGACGCCCCTGCTTTCCGCCCCCCCCCCCCCCCGCCCCCCGGACCCGACTGATGGCGGCCGCGCGTGCCGTCGCCTCGTCGCCGCTTGATATTCGGGGGCGACGCCGCGGCCAGAGCAGACCGGCGGCGGCAAATAACTGCAATGACGCGACGGCGGCGGCGGCGGCGGCGGCGGCGGCGGCGGCGGCGGCGTCTGAAGCGGCCACCGGGCGGAGCCAAGCGTGACCGTCTGTCGAAAGGGACGAGTGCCGGGCTCGCCCACCGCCCACCGCCCACCGCCCACCGCTCACCGCTCACCGCTCACCGCTCACCGCTGGGGCGATATGATGCGGCTGGACGGCGGTAAAGCCGCAATGGACAGCTTGCCGCGGTTTTATCGATTCGCAGTATTTCTACGAGCTGGCTGTCGCGTTATCCAATCGGGATATGGTATTGGTGTCGGCGGGCTGTCTTGGCGCTGATGGAGGGCCGTGCATCGCTGTGGGTCTGGGTGGCATCCATCAGCTGCCTACGAAATGGGGCGAGCCTCGACTGCCGGGTATCCGGACGGATGCTGCGACAGTTTGTCACTGTCTGGGCTGCCCCGGCGTCGCCGTCACGTTAAGGGGCTGTGGGGATGCGCTCTGCCTGGCGTTGCATTTCACTGGCGAGGTTTACAAGACGCGGCCGCGTTCTCGTGAGAGGGATTACCTGCCTGCGAGGGCTCGTTACCGTGTGGTACTAGGCATGCGGAAGGCCCTGGGTCGGCATGTTGCCCCGCTGACCGGTGGCACGGCGCGGTCTGACCGACGACCTATCCGCTGCAGCGGTGGAGGGCTGGATCCTGTTCGTGACCGGCGTGCACGAGGAGGCGCAGGAGGACGACATCCACGACAAGTTCGCCGATTACGGCGCCATCAAGAACATCCACCTCAACATGGACCGGCGCACCGGCTTCCTGAAGGCGAGTCGTCCGGGCTGCGCGGCGTGCCGTGGCCGCTGACGGCCGGTAGCTGGCGTTCAGTGCCGCCACGCCGCTGAATTAGCGCTGCTTGCAGGGGTTGGATGACGTCATCCGTTTCCTTTGTAACGTAACAGCACCCCGAATGAATCTAGTGAGTGTGTGTCGCTTTTAGTGGCGTGCGGTATAAAGGGTGCCTAATGTAATGTGCGATGTCAGTGAAGTCATGTCGTCAATAGACCCACCAGCGCGCGTCTGCTCAACGTCACCACATTTAAGCTCAACTGGTGAAGACACGCATAATGTGCGTGGGTGTAGCGCAAATGAAAGGAAACTGGCCAGGACGCACAATGATGCATCTATGATTATGGTTGGCGACTGCAATGCGTCCCATCCAAAGATTGTCACAGGCCTTATTGTGGGACAAAAACTGCCGAGTATTGAACGAGGAAGTTGTTTGTTAAGGATTTAGTCCGGTCTTTTTGAATGGATGAATTTCTGGGACTAAAACTCACGTTAAGCAATGCTTGCTGCATGAGACTTGACCCCATAATCAGATCGTGAAATTCCGGTTCAACATCAGCACTTTGCGGCGAAAGTTTAATCTGTGGTGATGCTCGGCATGGTTCTTCGTGCCCGCCAACGGACCATTCACGTCAACTGACCTTTAGTGCGGTCGCTGTCACCTACCGCAAGACACCCTCAGTCAGAGACAAATAGCGAGCGCCGAGGGGAGTCGAACCCACTCCGTCCTGTATACGTATACGAGGAGGTCAGCATCTCAACCAGCTGGGCTACCGGGACGGTACCGGGATGGGTTACCGGGCAGAATATGTGCAATGTATGTCTTGTAAGGAGTTGGTATGCCATGTGCCATGCATCTTGCTGACTTTTAGAAAGACCAGGAGTACAGCCAATGATTTATGCAGTGCGTGAAGTGCGGGGGTTTTCACCTGCCGTCTTGCTTGCTGGCTGACGGGTTTCACTCATGACGTTGTGCTGAACGGTTTGGGCAGGAGGCTTACGCTTTACTTCCAAAACGAGCTAGTTCCATACGGCCCGAGTCCACCCTCAAGTTTGATATGCCCTGGATAGAACAAAACATGCCAACTGGTCATTGAGTTGCATATCCGCAAGCATGACGACGGCATGGAGCACTTGCCCACGGCGTCACACGGTGAGTCCCCTCCCCCCCCCCCCCCCCCCTCCTCCTTCCGCCGCTATCACTGCGGTGTTAGTCGGAAGCGTGCGGCGCGTCCCTTCGCGAACTGGAGCAGCTACGCCATTGCTGGCGTCGTCCGAGCACGGCGGCGTACGGCGCGCGGTGAGGTGGGTAGTATGCCGAGCACGCGACGCCGCGTACTGGCAGCCATCACGGCGGCCGACCGGCGCGATCCAGGCACCGTCTGGCTGCACCCGGAGCGCGCTGTTACGAGCGGCGGCCGCGGCCGGCCCTCGCTCCGTGGGAGACGGCGGAGCCGGCGCCGCCGCTCTCGAGCTGCGCTACGGCTCGTATCTCGGCCGGCCTCGGCTCGCGATGGAGGCTGGCGGCGGCTGCACGCGCAGCTGCTCGCCGCCCCGCCTGTTTATCAGGTCGCTCAGAGCCGGAAAGCAGACTTAACGTTGCCCAGACCAACCACGCAAACAGCATCAGGTTTTCTCTTATTTTTTTCTCACTCTCACTCTCTCTCTCTCTCCTCTCTCTCTCTCTCTTTCTCTAGGTCTCTCGCTCTTTTGCTCTCGCTCTCTCTTCAGGTCTTGGGTCGAGCGGTGGCAGTCATGTTTCCGCAGAGACAGAAGGAACGCAGTTGCTGTTTTCCGTGTACGCATAGGACACACTCATGCCGCACGCCGTCACCTGGTATTTGCTAATGATAGCCCCCGCTGCCCGCGATGCCGTGGCCCGTCAACTGTGCACACGTCTTGATCGCCTGTCATGACGTACGTGGAGCGCGAGTGCGGTTCCTTTTACGGAATGCCCCAGATCTTGTACTGCCTGACACTTAAGGAAACGAATCTCAAGCTCTCGGAACTGGTTAACCTTTCAGTTTCTATCTGTCGTAGGTTCCACGGTGACGTTTATTCCATCACACGACCGCGACCATTTCCAGCCGACGCGCCCTAAAACTGGTCGTCGCTGCTATCTATATCTATATATCTATCTATCTATCTATCTGTTTATCTATCTATCTATCTATCTATCTATCTATCTATCTATCTATCTATCTATCTATCTATCTATCTATCTATCTATCTATCTATCTATCTATCTATCTATCTATCTATCTATCTATCTATCTATATCATCTATCTATCTATCTATCTATCTATCTATATATCTATCTATCTATCTTATCTATCTATCTTCTATCTATCTATCTATCTATCTATCTATCTATCTATCTATCTATCTATCTATCTATCTATCTATCTATCTATCTGTCTGTCTGTCTGTCTGTCTGTCTGTCTGTCTGTCTGTCTATCTATCTATCTATCTATCTATCTATCTATCTATCTATCTATCTATCTATCTATCTATCTATCTATCTATCTATCTATCTATCTATCTATCTATCTATCTATCTATCTATCTATCTATCTATCTATCTATCTATCTATCTATCTATCTATCTATCTATCTATCTATCTATCTATATATCTATCTATCTATCTATCTATCTATTATCTATCTATCTCTATCTATCGATCTATATATCTATCTATCTATTATCTATCTATCTACTATCTATCTATCTATCTATCTATCTATCTATCTTCTATCTATCTATCTATCTATCTTCATCTATCTATCTATCTATCTAATCTATCTATCTATCTATCTATCTATCTATCTATCTATCTACCTATCTATCTATCTATATGTTACCGCTGTAAAAAGTCGTCATCACTATAGCTCTGTCGCTCCCTCGCTCTCTCTTTCTCGGTACCGCTGTCGCTCCCCCGCTCCCACCATATCTCTTTTCTCGCTCCCGCTCTCTGGGTCGTGGTCATGGTCTCCCTCTCCCTCTTTCTCCCCCTCTTTCTTCCCCACTTTCTCTCCTACTTCCTGTCCCACTTTCCCCTTCTCTCTCCCTCTTTCTCTCTCTCTCTCTCTCGCTCTCTCTCTCTCTCTCTCTCTCTCTCCTCTCTTCTCTCCCTCTCTCTCTCTCTCTCTCTCTCTCTCTCTCTCTCTCTCTCTCTCTTCTCTCTCTCTCTCTGTCTCTGTCTCTGTCTCTGTCTTGTCTCTGTCTCTGTCTCTGTCTCTGTCTCTGTCTCTGTCTCTGTCTCTGTCTCTGTCTCTGTCTCTGTCTCTGTCTGTCTCTTGTCTCTGTCTCTGTCTCTGTCTCTGTGTCTGTCTCTGTCTCTGTCTGTCTCTGTCTCTGTCTCTGTGTCTCTGTGTCTCTGTGTCTCTGTGTCTCTGTCTCTGTCTCTCTCCCTCTCTCTCTTTCCCTCGCTCTCCCTCTCCCTCTCTCACTCCCCATCTTCGTCTCTCTTCCTCTCTTCCCCTTTCTTTCTTTCTCTCTCGCTCTTTCTCGTTCTCTCATTTTTTTTTTCCTGTCTCGTCACATGCTCGTGGTGAATAAATAAGCCCTATGTCGTTATGATGGAAACATATTACAGGTGGCAAGGTCTCAAACGACCAAATGCATTATTCATGGATCAATGTCGCTAGCTTCTCGGTCTCCTTCGGATGAATCTGATGAACTTTACTCTGCTTGGTATGCATTTACTTCATCCGCATTAGCGATAAGTTTCGATTGGCTAGTTTTCCTGTCATTAGGTTAGGGTCGCTGGGTACAGAAGATGTAGAGTAGGGGACGGTCCTGGGAGTGCGACACGCCATGGCCCTCCGACCAAATTTTTTAGCTTGATGACTAAGTCCGTCTGAACAGTGTCAAGTGATGTGTTCCACAGACACACTTGGTGTGCTGTCGACACGGCGCTGACAGGCAACCAGCTGAAACAGTTTCTGCCGGTCGGTTTGGGACGGCGTTGTTTATTGGCAGTTTAGGGCGCGTCGACTACATAAGTCATTTTGCTCCCATAACGATGTTTTTACATAACTAGTGAGGTGTGAAAATGACGTGGGAGTCGAAATGTTTAAAGAACGGGAAATCTGCTTAGACTCAACAAAGTAGTTGTCTCCAAGCACATCGCTAATCGTCAGGCGTGAAGCCTGCCGTCAAAAACAACAACGTTCTCCAGCGAGGCGTGGACACAATACAATTGTATGACGGACAGTGAAAACGGTACCACATGGATGACAGAGGGACCTGCCAGCCGCTACACAATAGATAACCATGGCTGGCATGCATGTGCCCGATAGGCAGTCTGCATAGAGCTGCTCCTTGTACATGGCGAGAGTAAGATGATCAAAAGCCCAGCTCGGTTTTTATCGCTCTGAGCTTATTGCCGCTTGTCCGATCCCAGAATAATGCGTTTTGTTTCTGAAAAAGTACGACTGTCGGGTTAAGGCTCAGGCTGCGGTCGACAAAGGCCGGGTATATGGTGTCACCGTCGCTCGCTCAGCAGCGGCATCAGCCAACTCGTTGCCCACTTTTCCGACGTGGCTGGGGATCCAGGACAGGGCAACTCTCTTTCCATCCCGACCCAGCCGTGTCAGACGGGATAAAATGAGATGTGTGAGGGAACATGATGAATAAAAAGATCGAAGTGCCGAGAGACTGCTCAGGGAATTCGTAAGAATGGCGTGTACAGATTCGTCACCAGCTTCTATGAAACATACTGCCTCGGCAATCGCAATCAGTTCCGCTGTGAAAACTGACCCGTGGGCCGGTAATCAAAACGATCAAGTGACGGAACCGCTGACGAACGCACAGCCCACGCCATCCGAGGCTTGGGACCCGTCTGTGTACGTCATAGTGTATCCTTCATATTACGCTAGAATTCAAGTGCCCTGGATTTTATTATGTTTAGGTGTGACATCTTTTTCCCTAATTTCTGTAAGTCGAGGTGTTTATTAAGGGCATGCTCATATGCCGAGGAGGAAAAGCCATATGACTTGCTTCTTCACGTCTCAAAGAGGAATTGCGCTCTCCTGCAATAGGGCTCTCATTCGGAACATGGAAGTTTGAGCGTGCTGCTGTGGTCCACCGCGAAGGAGGCTTACAGTATACCGCGAAAGTGCGGCATGGTATGTCGGATCTGACGGGGACTGCCGCAACTTAGCGGTTTAACGCGGGTCGAGCATGTTTCTCGCCGACAGTGTGGCTCTGATAACTGCGTAATAAGGCTAACAGCGGGCGATGTGCGGAACGCCCCAGTAACGATACGAAGGGCGTTTGATGAACGACATCAAGACCGCGCTTGCTGGATTCGGACGCGTTATCATACACAAAGCATGCGTAATCTAGCTGGGAAGAGTGAACGATGTAAAAGCCTTAGCCAGTTTCTGTCTGCCCCATAGGATGTGCGTGGCGTACACTTTGGAATGTAAAGGGATTTTAAGCAGCAACCGCGTAACATGGTGGGATGTGCATTATAAGGTAAGCCGGCGGTCAGAGTATGTCTCCATGTTACCTGGCCACAGTCTCAGTTGGAATGCATCTCCCATGTAGACGGATGCTCAGGTCTCTGCTCTGCTGGCGACGATAAAAATGCAATGCGCTGGTCTTGTCAATTGAAAATTGAGACCCTATCATGTCGCTCCACCTTTCCACGCGGTCCACAGCTAGCTGGAGACGTAGTTCCATCGATGGTGCTCTCCCTGCATTGGTTTAAAGGGTAGAATCGTCAACAAAAATGACACGTCCAGTTTGCAACAATCAAATCGGCTAAAAGATAGTGCAAGTATCTTAATGTCATGAACGCAGTGTAACTGCAATCAATCAATTAAGTGATAAAATTAGATGGCACATGACCCCTTCATTGTCAATAAAACGAGAGGCAAAATGTTATGGTATATGTGCTACCGTAATGTAACATATGAAATGTGATCACTGCGTAACAGACTAGTCACGCGTCGTTCTCTTGTCAGATGTTCATCATGAGGCATCTGCTTGTAAAGTGTGCTTTTATCGTATGTACGCACCAAACATGGAGCACCGCAATGCATCCAAATATGATTGGAACAGATGCGATGGAATTTGTGGCAAGTACACCAAGTAAACTTGGTCACCCGCCAAGGTCAGAACACTTACCGGGGGCACTGGAGTGGGGTTACTATGGCAGCGTGGTAGACGCCACACTTCGTGACTTTACTATCACGGTATCTGTGTGTTATCAGCTGCTTCCGTAAAAGTTAAATGGTGGTACTTGAATGCAATGGTGATCAGTTGAGATGGCAATCGTGTTTCCTGAGTTTTTACCAGTTTATGGTGATAATGGTAAGCATTTAAACACGAGAACGTCTGGTTAACGGAGTTCATATTGTGCAAGACCGGTATTAGCCCGTTGCAGCCGGGCGGGTAGCAACCGGTTGCAGCTGGTAAATGCTAGAAGACGACAAAAAATAGACCCAGGCCCGTTGAAATGGTATCCATAATTGTGAATACATTTGCCAGGCTGCGGACGGCCTGTGGTGGTGTACATATATCATGTACACGACCGCGCAAATCTAGGAGGGTGATCTGTCGACGCCGCACGGCAGAACCGGACCGGCCTGCTTCATGGCCTCTTGATATGCCGGCCAGGCCTGTCAGCCGGGCAGGCTGCTCAGCATGGCTCGTGGTGGCCCCTGAAGGGGGTTTTCAGCGAAGCACTTTACCACTTTATAGTGTGGCCTCCTGCCACAAGTTTGTTAAGGTAGACTTGACACGCATAAGGTCGGCGCTGGACGGCGCCATTCTGCCGGCGCTCCAAGAGACCGTGAGCCAAGGAAACCTGAACGAGGCTGTGGTGAACGGGTTGCACGCGCCATAACATCAGAGAGGCCTCCTGCCTTTGATGTAAGAATATGTTCATTACTCGGCCTTCAGCGTCGTAACAAATACGTAAGCTTTCGACGTCTGAGGACTGCGAATATGCGCGGCGGAAGGACAAATATGACGAGCAAAGCATCGCTGACGCGCTATACTACGCATTCTCCCATGGCACGTGGGTGCACGGATCTCAGTGTGGTCCGTTCATCCGCATCGGTTCCAGCGCACGCGGCTGATCCCTTCCGGACCGTGTGCAGAAGACATCGGGTGTGGCGGTACCGGTTGTCATTGAGTTGTGTTACCGAAACCGAACCTTTCGCGCGTTTGCCCGAGGTTGGCCGACTCTTCGTTTGCAACCCTTGACGCTTGGAGCGTCCTCCAACCGGCGCCACGCGATCGGCCCTCCCAGTTCGCTAACGGGCCACTGTTTCATCCCTTGTGTGGCGCGCGTCTGCTGCGGCCAAGCTCCACTCGCGTGGGGCATATGCGCTCCGGCCAGTGTCTTCCCGGCAGAACAACTACCGTCGGACGCTTTACACCCGCGCACCCTCTCGGTGCTGAAAAACATCTCGTCTCTGGTCTATGATGTTTGCGTGATGTGGCTCGCTTGGACCCGATGTGAGAAAAAAAACTCATTTGCTGGTGGAAATGGCACCTGGAAAGTGTACACTCCAGGCTCGTCGCCGGTGAAATGAAAACACTCGTGCGCCTGGGTAACGTTGCTGCTTTTCTGTACCCGTCCTGGTCCTGAAGACAAATAACTTATCATTCATTTTCAGAGATGGTTCCATTTGCGAAGTTTCTCAGTATGCTTATGAAGTTTGTCTTAGTGAAGTGAAAGATAAAAGATCCGGTCTCAGCTAAAAGTTTCAAAACTTTTTTTGGCAGAAGTACGGCGGCGACCGCGAGTGCGGTCAATCAGTTGGACCGGTGGCCAACAAATTTTCCGCTTAGAACGGTGGCCAACAAGTTTGCCGCATACGCGACCGCTAGCTTTTGGCGCGGTCAACGGCCGACGGAGCACCAAAATACACTTACCAAGTGCTGAATCCGCCGGAGCTCAATTTACCAGGTCCTCTCCTGGATTGGAACGCGTAGAATCACTGGGGCGAATTGTGCGAACATAAGTATTTCAAATGGAAGATCTGAGCTATTGAGGAATCGCTAGAGAGAACTGGCTTTGCGGCCTGAAACGATGGCGCCTAATCTCGTTTCGTACGCGTATAGCAAACTTTTAATGTGAAGACTAGCATTCTGTTTTGAAGATGAATGGAGGGGGAAATTGCATTGCCTACGCGGAAACATCGTGGCGTCTGAGCACAAAAAGGTGTAGTATTTTTCCGAAAACCATTACCACCATGCTGGTCCTTACCACCCTGACAGGTCTTTGCGTAGTTCTGTGTCTGTACCACTGTTCTGACCGATCGACTGGCCGCCGCTGGTGGAGTATTCCATAATGTCGGCCAGCACGGCCGGCACCCAGAATTACAAGGCTTCCTGTGATGGGTGGTGTCCGGAGCAGACATTGATCTATCGCACTGACGTGTCCTACTGTATTTTCGTTTTCATGCCGGACGAAGCATTCGAAAAACTATGTTTGCATGAACGTTTCTGAATAAAATAATGAGAACATGCATACACATGTACACACATGCACGTAAACGGTCGCTCACAACCTTCAACGCTGTGCATCACCTCGCACATTCGTGTGGGCTCTTGAGCGTTTGTTTGTGTGCTGCCGTGCGACCAAGACGGCTATCTGTAAGGACTCGGTGCTGAATGCAGTGCTGTGAAATGCCAATGATCAAACTTCTGCGCCTACGGTGGTCCATAACTCATGACCGGATGGCATGTACGATACGCCGACCCCTATCGTGGCACGCATGTCCAGGACTCCCCCGGACGCCGGTAGAGAGTATGCTGCCTACCCAGGGCGAAGAGTTGCGGCCGCGGCCCGTGGCGCGTACCTGACGCTTCCCAGCGCTCGACACCTGGTATGTGGCAACTAATACCCCCTGGCGCTCCCCAGCGCCAAGTTCTGGTACTCTGGTCCGACCATGAACTGCAACTTGTGTCTGTCGCTCCCCAGGGCTACACGCTGGTGGAGTACGAGACGTATAAGGAGGCGGTGGAGGCGATCGAGGCGCTGAACGGCACCGAGATCCTCGGGCAGACCATCAGCGTCGACTGGGCGTTCGTCAAGGGGCCGAAGAAGTGAGTGCCGCCGGCGCCGGGCCGTGCGCGCCGCGGGCTAGAGCCGCCTGTGCAGTCCGTCCCCAGCGGCCGTGCGCCGCCCCAGTTTCGCGCTGCAGGTGGGAGCGTTTGGAGTAAGAGCGTTGCTGACGCCCGTACTTACACCGCGCGAGCCGGGACGCGCGCGACCTTTACAGGCGCGCCACACTCTCCGCGTTGGGGCGCACGGACAGGGTGTGCGCCGTGCTGGCGTAGTCAGACCACGTCTGGGGCGGCGTGCTGGCGTAGTCAGACCACGCCTGGGGCGGCGTGCTGGCTTAGTCAGACCACGTCCGGTGGCGGTGCTCTGGTGTATCTATACGACGTCTGGAGCGGCGTGCTGGCGTGGTCAGACCACGTCTGGGGCGGCGCGCCGGCGTAGTCAGACCACGTCTGGAGCGGCGTGCTGGCGTAGTCAGACCACGCCTGGGGCGGCGTGCTGGCGTAGTCAGACCACGTCCGGGGCGGCGTGCGGGCGTAGTCAGACCACGTCTGGGGCGCGCGCCTTCCATCTGACACTCCATTCCCGGTATGCAGATGGGTGGCCAACGGCGTTGTTTTGCTTGTGGTTGCGCCGGCGGCGGCAGCCGGCGCGGCGCCACCTGACCGGCACGCGGCGCCGCACGCGACGCTCCGCGGCGATTATGCCGCCGGCGGGTGGCGGTCAGGCCCAGCGTGGAAGCGGGCCGCCGCCACCGCCGAGTCGCGCGTGACCCGGTGCCGAGCGCAGGCTGGCCGCATGTCGCACTGCCGGAACGCCTCTCAAAACGGAGATGTGTGTAGTTCTGTCTGCCGAAGTTGAGATCGCTTCACTCGGGCGGAGCTTTGGTTTTGTTTTTGTTTCATTTTGTTTCGCCTGCAAGCGGCCATGTGGTGTGGAACGCGGTATGAGACATCAGTCTCTGCCATATTTACAAAGAAAGGAAGAGATGAACGCCGTTTCGGAGACTCGGCATACCGTAGTCGTCAGCTGGGTACAAATTGGTAGCCAGTTGATGAGTTGTGATAGAATTGTCCTAAAATTGTCTTCAGTTGTTTATTTTGTGTCGCAGTCGAGGTAGAAGACAGCTGAAACGCAAATGACAGCTGTGCGCTATGAATATCGGTATCAGCCGTCGTAACAACACGGCCAAAATTTCGTCTTGGGTATCAAAGTGAGAATGTGTGAGTACTGTAATAGTTGATGGGCTTTTCTATTTGATGGCTCCTGACCCCGATGTCCGTGAATTCGTTCCAACGAAATTCCAGTCAAATTCTAACCCGCTCACATAAACGACTGCCATCCAATTGGCAGCCTCTATTGAGGCTAGGCAGTTAACGATCTCCAGTACAACCCCTCTTACAATCATTTTTGACCGTTACGAATATTGTCAAACAAACACGCTTATGCAGCTGCGATGCCATTTTGACATATGAACCATTCCATGTCAAATCAGTCAAAAACAGACACTTGATCCCGACCCGTTTTGACTTCAACCAGTCATTTGAGGCTGAGGACCCCATGGAAAGGCGATCCCGCACCAATGTATGACTCAGTATAACGTCTGGGATGAGAGCCGGATATAAATCAGCGTTCGTAAACTCAGTTTAGGGACGGAATGACTGCTGGGCAGAACATCCGCTGGAAATCTCGACGATGTTTGGAACCAACGGGTCCGGACTATTCCAACACCATTCAATATGCTATAGTTCTATAGTTCTCTTACCATGCTATAATTCTTTGAAGACGCATGAATTACGCTGTGTGGCTTTGATGTATCCCGTGACCTGCTCCAGACGAGGCCAAATTTGTCATGGCTGTAGCCATGTTGTGGTGGCTAGGACTTCTTTTAAATTTCACAGTTTATGCCTGGATATGTTTACAGTTTTGATGAACGGAAATTTTCTTGGTACAGAAGTAAGCGATAAACTCTCAGGTATGGTTTGTCCCCGTCTTTAATTCTTTATTTTGCTGTCTGGCCACGTACTGATTTGCTGTTGCAAGCTTTGTGATGAACAAAAGTGTTGTATATTTTTTGGCCTGGGTTTTGTATTTTCTCACATTTAATTCACACGTATACGGTCCGTAGCGGATGTTGATGCGCATTGCACAATTTTTGGGCTCGCAATCAACACTGAACAAATGAACAACGAGCAGTCAGCAACTGTGCGATGACGCGAGCTTAATACGTAATCCAGACATTACACCATCATCCCTGTACCATTCATTTTCATATCCGTCTGTCACGCCACCCCAACCTATTGTTCGCATCTCTAAGTGTTCGAGATGATCTGTAACATTGCACTTGAGGCACAGTGAGTTCTTGACATGCCTTTAGTGAGCAATAGGTTGGACAGCATCTGTCGATGCTCCTAAAATTGAGTGATGGCAGCCCTGTGTGCGTAGAACATTTGCATGGAATTTGATAACTCGAACCACATTTTTCAATTTTGATACCCTCCTCTCTCCATTTGGACTCTGCCGTTGTTATATGTCATTTTGTGCACATTTGAAAGAAGTGCCTGGGCCTAATTATGCAATTTCGATGCGTGATGTCTCCACTGTTACATTCATCGAACCTCTCTTGTCTTGCGTGATTGTTATTTGGTGGTTATCACGCACCTTTTGTTAACATGCCGCTGGGATTGCGGTTTTCAGTCCCTGGTGTGGTAAAAAATGCACCTCCAACCGCGGACATTTTGCCCTAAACTGGACTTAAGTCAGTCTTGTACCATGCTACCTCACAATGTCGTCAACCCATCAAATGCCTGCTTTGTAATGCGGCTTTACAAACGTTGGTTTCCACCTATATGTGTCCTATTATTACGATACAACATTTGCATCCGCACTTTTCTTGCGCTGGTTGTTGGAGTAAAAACTGTATTTTGGAGTTTTGATATGATTTCTATGTAGAATCCTGATGCGTTAAATGCATTAGTAAAAACTTAATTGCTATCAATTGTTAATAAAGGCGTGCCCTTTAATTAAGCTGCTGTTACTTGTAATAATTGACGTCAGGGTGATTCCAAACAGTTGTGCATCCTTCTAACCCAAGCCACCCGCCAACTGATATAGATTTTACCCACGTCCGGTGCATATGAGCTACCGTTTTTAATGCTCCGACATAGCTTAGTTGTAGCGACCTTTGGAGGCCTGCCTCTCCACAAAAATTCATAACATGGCTCAGTATCTGCTCCAGTGTGGATGAAGGAGTTATGCTGCGTGTCGCTGCATATACTATTTGTGATATCAAAATCGATTGAACCACCGTTATCCTTCCTTGGATTGTGAGATATCTCTAGCTCCATGCATCACATACGTCCCTAATGGACCGAACGACTGGTGCATATGTTCTTGATCGCATTGTTCTGTTGCACTGAACTAAGTATCTAAGTATCTAATATAAGTATCTCTTGCACCTAAGTATCTAGTATCTTGAGTATGCGTGCTGCTTTGACTCCGTCGGTTGTTTTGAACGTAGTTCTTAGCCGACTTAGCCACAAAGTTTAGTTTTACTTAAAGTTCAGCTCAAGTCCCGACACGGCCTTAAATCTCGGCGTCGGATCTCTCACCTCTTTCATCGATTTTTGGTGCATTAAGAACTGTATCGTCTGCATACTGACTGATCTTCACTTCCATATCGTTTATCTTAATTCCGCGAATATCTGCATGGTTCCCTATTTTTGTTACTAACATTTCATTTGCTAAGATAAACAGCATCCCGCTTAATGAAGATTCCTGAAAAGTGGCCCAGTGACAATGCAGCTAATTTGATCACGTTAATTCTGCGTCGCTATATAACAGTTAAAACCAGGACTTGAAGTTTTCGCCAAAATTGGACTCTTCCAGCGAAAACCTAACAAAGCCATGTTCAACGCAGTCAAATGCATTTCTGTAATCTATGGCTAGTAACAGCCCATCTAAATCATCTATTATGCAATACTTAATTACGTCGGATATCAGCCTGATGCTTTACCGATATATGGTCTCTTTATAAAGCCTGTTGGCTATATTTTTGGCTGTCATCTTATGGATAATGTGTAGTAGGCACATTGGTCTTTAAGTGGCCAACATCGCTTTACTTCCTTTTTGAAATGAACGTTAAGATCTTCCGCCTTTGTGATATGAGTACCGGTTGCTCATTTTCTGCGTCGTTTGTATAAGTATGATTTTCACATTACCTTAATTTGCACAGATCTTTGAAGTGCGCATTACTCTCATCCAGTATAGCTTTGTTCCCACTCATAATATTACCATCCGATTTGTTAACGAACTAACCATTTTCTGTGCTGTCTTATGTCTAGGTTCATGAGAAATGTGGTGTGGGTTTTCACCTTCTGTCGAAATAGCACTTGATTGCAACATTGCTACTTTCCCATCACTCGCTTTGACCTCAGCCATCCTTTTTCTCACCCGTTCGCACTCGCTCAAGCTCTGGTTATTTGGCCTGCTAGCGACATGAGCCTCGAGCACATTGTGTGCTTTCTACAGATTGTCTTCTTCCAAACAGAGTTTCTGTGTAGTCTTTTCGCTCTTTTTTTAATCATGCCCTGATTTTACCCATCGTGAATTCACCCTCAATGCCCGTTGGCATCTCGGCAATGTATTCATCTGTCCCACCGACTGCTTTGTTAATCTCAGCCGCACAAGGTTGGCATACTCTTCGTTATCCAGCAGCGTGTTATTAAATCGCCAAATACAGGGCCCTCACTCATCATCGTGAAATTCAACCTCTGAGTAAACAAAACTGTGATCGCTTAAAGGGAGTGTTCCACATTTATATAGGATTTGAGCTGGAAGCCGTCTTGAAGACCTTTCGATGCTGTTCACAATCCTTCCCCTCTTAAGACCTAAGCCTCTCTAGTTTCTGAGGTACACGTCCGCGAAAATGGGAAGAGTGTTTTGGAAGAGTGTTTCAAAGTAACCTCGGCATTCCTGACTTCGTGATAATGCCATTCAAATCTTGCCACTCCATAAGCCACGCAGCGATCAAGGCCAAGAA